AATTAACTATAGTCTTGGACTTTATTTCATTACTTAATTATCGATACCCCCCCCCTTCAAAAGACCTGGTTTAAGTCTTTAATGGGACAATATTTGTTATTTCGGAATGTTCATATAGTCTGTACTTTACGCGGAATAAGACATGCCACATCTCGGGTATTCACGTAATTAACTACAGACTTAGACTTATCTTGGAATGGAACTTATTTATCGCCCCGCCTCCCTCCCCCTTAAAAAGACCCAGGTCTTAGTCTTTAATGGGACAATATTTGTTATTTCGGGCTGTTCATATAGTTTGTACTTTACGTGTAATAAGACATGGCACATGTCGAGCATACAGGTAATTAACTATAGTTAGACTTGTCTCGGACTTTATTTCATTACTTATTTATCGTATTAAACCTGACAGATTTAACCAAGCTAAGCCTCTTTTACATTAATTAAGGAAATTCTTTTGTTGATTTATAAAGTTGGATGTTAAGATAGAGTTACTTAGAACCAGGAAGATATTTAATTAATTAACTTTCTTAACATGAAAAGGGTCGAGGATTAACATTTCTGTTCACACTATCTTGTTTAAAATAGCCTAATTAAGTTCTCCTTTTAGGATTATAGAGGTCAAATAAAACTGAAATGGGGCTTAACTTCTTTTTTTTCTCTGCACCAACCGGCCTAAATAAGTGTTCTATGAGGAAAATTTTGCCATGGAATTCGATGTTACCCACTTCATGGAATTCCACCTGCCAAGGGCTGTTTTACGTGTAAGTCAATGTTTACAATTTAGCGACCATGCCGAAATCTGGAAGCGGCCTTAGGAAATAGATCTAGCCCTTCCTGGTTAGTGAGCCATCGGCGGACTCACTGAGGCACCCTTCAAGGGCGGATCCAGAGACCATGGATAGAGGGGATCCGGGTGGTTTACCCTCGGAAAATTTCGAAAACTAAAAGTCCGGAAATACCATTCCCAGTGATCTGAGACAAGATTCTGGTTTTAAAGTGCACCCCATGGATCCAGATAGTTGGGGCATAGGGGCGTGCGCCGGGTGCCCCCCCCCCATTAGATCCGCCCTTGCCTTGACTTTCTATTTTATAAAAACATAATATAGTATACTATGTTAATTGATGAGTTGTAACTGGATATCAACCAATTTTGTATAATAAGCAAACAATAATACAAAACATAGCAAGAGATATTTTTGTTGGCACAAAAGAAGAGACTGGTATCAATTCATTAATCGCCGGAATTCCTGCTAATCTCTAGCGTAGAACCTTAACAAGGAACAATGTCTAGTCATTCGGATGGGACGAAAAACGAGTTCCCGTATACACATTGGCGGGCACGCAAAAGAACCTTTATCAGTTGGTATTGGGAATATAAGTAGGCTGTAGTGTCCCTATTCGGAGAAAATTTTCCTCAGCACACTGTATGGCGTATACCCGTCTTCATTTGCCCAGTCGGTGGGGAACAGTCTAGCGGAAAAATTACTACTTGTATGTTTATAAAACTAATTACGAGTAATTAATTACGCCAGTGTTATATACGATACATGTAACAAGTAAATATTTAACGTGATTAGGACCATATGTAATACTGTAATACGTAGACTAGAACAATATTGTTGTGTCAAGCGTAATCAGCCTTATTACCGTGCTGTTTAAACTAGGCATGTTTATTGACTTACAACTCACACAGATAGATTTATACAGTCCGTAACCTTGGTTTATTTTTATTTGAGAGAGAGAGAGAGAGAGAGAGAGAGAGAGAGAGAGAGATTTTAACGTCCACTCGACTAAACTAGGTAATTTCGGGACTAACATATTACCTTTTATCCCTCTTAAAAGAGTTAGAGTTAGGGTTCCCTCCCCAACTGGCCTACAATTAGCATCTCCCTTAAGCCAAGGGGTGCACGTGTGGGTGTGGCCCTCTTGTTTTAGCCCATCCAAGACACATTTCCTTGTCAGGCCCGTCGTCCTGCACCACCATGACACATGACACGTGACAAGGGGAAACCAGAGGAACTTTCTGGTTAGTGCGCACGTACGACATTCAGTGACCCAAGCAGTATATCGCGATGTCCTTGTATATATTGATATAGCGGTATTGATATAGGTCTTCACCATATGATTACATCGTTTAAGGGCCTGTTGTTATCTATCAAGAGATAATAAACGAATCATGCAATATGATTTGGTATTCTATCCAGAACGTGACTACAGGCAAGTCGTGGACGATAAGTGTTCCCGTCTAGTCATTTATATTGAATGCTGTTTGTACTTTAAGAAAATAGTAATATCACAGATATCGTCCTGATAGGGCCTAGCAAGGAGTCGTTTCTAGTCGTTCGGATGGGACATGTAAAAGAACCCATGACGGTCGAAATTAGTGGCGCTGTCCCGGCATAATATCCCTCCAAAACTAAATGGGGCGTTAAACCCCATTTCATTTAATTTTATATGTATACGAAACTTTAAGTCGACTTCATTGTTATGTCCTGTCCTGTCCGGGGCCGCGGTGGCTCAGTCAATAAGGTCATAACCAGGAGGTCTTGGGTTTGCTTCCGGCGTTCTCGATATTTTCTTGGCCAACCCTACAAGCCTCATGGTTAGCGAGTCAACGTCTTTACTTACTGAGCCAACACGACTCCCAAGTTTTCGTCTATATGACGTGGTTTTTACACCCGGACGTACTTAATAGCATACTTTAGATTACAATAAAAAATAATTCGTACTTCTGAAACGAACTGATCTGTCTTGTTGGGTCTTTCATATATAAAATAAAGAAAAGAAACGAAAGGTACTATGGTTGCCGTTCTTTTCATTGTATAAAACTTGCCAAGGGTTCGCTGTTTAAAAAAATGTAATAAATTTTTAAATAATTATCATTTAGAAATTTATGACCTATTAGCTCAATAAATATTCCCAATGTATATAAATGTTTTTTTTTCTTCCGGTTTTGACATTATTCTTCTACATATAAATATAATATTATTGTGTGCCTGGGACATCTGGTTTTAAAGAAAATAAAATAAAGAATTGAATTGTGTCGCAAATGACACATGTGATAATAAGAATCACATCGCGCGAATCTAACTCGATACAGATATTGGAATTAAACATTATGAGAAACAGAACGTCGTAGTCAATGTTATAAAGACCGTTCTCTTCCTTTCAAAGTAAAACAACGGAAGTCGTTGAAGAATCGCAGAACTAATGTAACACGATTCCTTGCTTTATTCTCCAAACATTTCAATACAAATTCAGATCGACTTGTTTTTCTGTGGTCGAATACTCCACGGTTATAAATGTGTCAATGACAGTATTAACTTGATTGACGAAACGAGTATGATGATCCGCTCAGGTCACTCACTGTTTGTTACTTATTGCAAGTGGTTTTAAGTAATGGAAAGTGCTGTTTTGTGACACGTGACATGCTGAAGATGACATGAAGGGATCACAATTCTCTGTGATCTATTCGTATTTAATTGCCTGTAATCCCTGATTAACACGGCCCATATATTCATTTACTGAAGTATCATTATGATGGAGTTGACGGCTGTCGTGCAAAATACAGAGTAACTTAGTCCTTCTAAAATATCCGAAACCTTTTCTAATTACTTGAACATTTTCACTTAGATGCCCCCTTCCAAGAAACTTTCTCGGTCAGTACAGGGGTCGAACCCCAAACCCCCAGGATAGTAAGCTAGACTCACACTCGCCCAGAAGCCGGGATAACAAATTAATCCCATCAACCTACTCCACATGTAACAGATTAATACATTCTAATTAACTCCGCCAACCCACGCCATGTAACAGATTAGGCACATTCTCATTTAACTCCGCCAATCCACTCATTGTGGTACCATCCCGTTTCGACTACGTCCCATTTCCACTACAGCTTATATAACAACTTATAAACCTGTAACGGTACATTCTAATTTAACTCCGCCAACACACCCCATGTAACGGATTACATACAATCTAATGTAAGCCCATCTCACCCCTGCCACCCCATGTAACAGATTACGTACATTCTAATGTTACCCCCACGCCACCCCCTCCACCACATGTAAGAGTAGTCAGTAGTCTGACTCTTTAAGTTTACATCTCAAAACAGTATTGTTTATAAGTATATATTTTCAACAGCTGAGAGATGTGCTAGTAGGTATAATATACTGACACAATGTGTGTACTTGGTCCATACTTGGTGTATTAAATAACAATAAAACCCTTTGTAACTTTATTGGTATCTGTAAAACCCATTAGACTGGTGAATACGTACTAGCTAGTGATACTTTACTTGTGTTTTGGTAAACGTGTAGCCATTTCTCTAAAATGTCTTTGAAATTTATTATTTATTGGCTTACAGAGGGGCAGGAATCGCCTTATTATGTTTTTATAAGAATATTTTTCTTCACTGTTATACACTATGGGGTTTCATGGGCAAAGTTTTTTTTAAAAAGAATTCGATAAAGTATAGAGTATTGTAAATTAACTAACACTTTCCTAAGTATAGAAAGAGGGTTTGGTGGCGTGGTTTCGATTCCCATCTTGTACGTTGCCTGTCCATCCTCGTGGGTTTTCTCCGGTTTCCTCAATATGCTAAAGACCCCTACGCGTAGGCGAATTGTTGAAATAAAATTGAACCATGTTAGTCCCGAAATGACATGACTTGTAGCGAGTGGGCGTTAAACCCCAATTTTTCTCTCTTTGAGGTATAAACATCTTTTGAATAGGGATGGTCTGATGTACATGTTAGATAAGTGATGGGTCTATCAGCGGTGCCCTAAGTGTGTTCCCTGAAACCCTACGGTTCAGCGAAATATTTAGGAGATCTGCGAGATAAATAGGCCCAAATATTTTCATCGGAGCTTTCCGTTAATCCATGGAATGAATGGAATTGTATCGGCGTGTCCATTGGGTTGGTTTAGTTTGACCAATCTATAAAATATTCGTTTGAAAAGTTACATATGATTTAATCAATATTTATATTTAATGTTTGAAAGTGTATGACTAATTACAGTTCTCTCAAATACAGTTTTAATAGTTTGTCAATGCACATAGATTAATAAGTTTGACATCAGAAACAAAATGGCCAATATTTAATGCAAAACAAAGTAATGAAGAAACGGAGGAAAAATCGATAGGGCCCATCCTCTCATTGTCCCAATGCTTCACATCGAATATGGTAAAACCAAATCCGTTAGAAACTGAAGCTTCGGTCGCAATCTCAACGTTTTCGGACAGGGGGGAGGGGTGGAACGGTAGGTAATAGAACGCTGAATATAGAATGTGAAATAAATGTTGCTTTTCGGCAAATGGGAGGGGTGGTCTGTGAATCCGGAATGGAAGGTCGCGGAATGCCGCATATCAATAGCGTTCGTATTCTTGTGATCTCAATGTTTCGCACCAAATTTGAAAAAGTTTGTTGACAAGTTTTCGACAAATGAGTCTGTAACTTCCGAACCGTAGGTCGCGGAAACTGGGGAATTTCTTTTTCATTTGGCGTAAAAGGCGGGGGTCATAATCCAAGAAGTTTTTATTCTTACCATATATTTGAAATTTCATCTGAATCGGGCAACAGTTGTGGCATCTGGAGGGCCTGCAAGCTATTTAAGTGATTTTCATAGAATCTCGAACATAAATCTATGCAGTTACTGTCCAACATGTTCAAAAATAAAACATATCAGGGATCGTTGAGATATAAATATTTACAATTGAAGTTTCGTCACAATCGAATAAAAACTGTGATTTGCCCCCAAACAAATGTGAACGAATGACCAGACATGAACGTCTACATGAAAATAATGGGCGTATAAAAACAAATGAACAGTGTTCCTGGAAATCTTTTCTGCCCAGTACTTAGTTTTTATGAGACCAGTGATCACCACCTGCCTTCTTGATCAGCTTTGGAACATAACTGGTCCAGAATGCTGTTCGTCGAGCATTTAGATGTTTTCTGTTGGCTGTATCTTCTGAAGTTATATACAGGTAGCTTTTATCTGAGCTGGTATACTCCCGCCATTGTACGGCTGGTTTACGTGGTGAATTGGGATCCCTAAAAAAAAGAAACCAATTTTCCTTAATCTAAAATTAATTAATATGCAATACGCATATCCTAACTGTTTTATCTGGGCAGGTAAGCCTATTAAAAGATCTACAGAAAATTGGTTTATCAGGACAAATTGCACGCAACCTGAAGTAGCATCTTAAAGATCTATCAGAAGTCTGACTAGTGTTCTGCACCAACACCATCTCTAAGGCCAGCTAACGATGATCATGGACCCGTGATCACCTACCACCAAATAGCTTATACTTCTTAACAATCTAAGTTAAAGTGATCGTCCGGTTTAAATGTACGTTAACAATATCACAGGATTGATAAGCTTGCTTACCCGGTTTTAGCAAAATTTGTCCAATAATCCATTATCCGTGTTGCAAATGGCCATTTAGCAGTGGTCTGTTCTTCTGTAATCTCGATAAAAGGCCTAAGATCTTCGTGCAAACCTAAAACGTAGAATAGTTCATCGCCATGTAAGGCTCCTTTTATCCACGGATCTTTGAACTGAAAGTCGTGGCGATCACAGAACTCGTATTGGTAAGTCTTAGAGCCTGTGTTCTGGTAAGCGTGTTTCTCAAGTGCTGTAGCTGTGGACACAAAGAAAGCAACGTCTGTTGCAAAGTCTGAAGCCTGTTTCTTGTGCAGATCTTTATCTGATGGGTCCTCATAGTTTGTGTACAGAAAAAGAACGGAGTCCAAAAGTTCTGATGCTAAGTCTTTACCGAAAGCATAATTTAATACCAATGATATAATATTGTAGTTAGCTTCTTGAATTTCGTCAACAGTGGATGCACTTTGTAGTTCTGTGAAATATGCAGCCACTTCACCAAATGTTAGAAAAAACAAACCATCGTAATCAGTAGTTCCCATCAAGAGGTCCAGATTTTTAAAAGGAATTAAATTTGTTTGAGTAGATGTATTACCAAGGGCATCTATTCTATTCTTAATGACAAAATCACCATCCACAGATGGACTCCAACACAGTAATCCACCTTCCGTTACGTTTGAGGCAACGGCAATATGTGTAGTATTCTTGAAATCTCGAAGACATTGAACAATTGCTTTAGAAGACGATGTTTCGGGGCAGTCAAGTTTCTCGGCTAACAGTTTGGCAATCTTACGAGGATCAGGAGTAACTGACCAGAAGGAATTGGCTGAACCACTTTCTGCGATCGCTCTTTGAAATAGTCCTTCGTTTTCTGGATAAATAGTTTGATATATCACCGAGGCACTGCCAGCTGACTCTCCAAATATTGTAATTGATGTAGGATCACCGCCAAAAATTTCAATATTGTCTTTCACCCATTTAATAGCCAGATGCTGATCTCTCAGACCATTATTGGTATCCACAGCATCATCACCAGTGTCGAGGAAACCAAGAGGTCCTAAACGGTAGTTGATACTGACTGTCACTAATTGTCCATATGCGGCCAATTTCTCCACATTCATCGCTTTGCCGTCTCCAAGAATGAAACCACCACCATGAATAAAAATCATTACCGGATATTTGGTGTCACTTCCAGTTATATCAGGGGTATAAATATTTAGAAATAAACAATCTTCGTCCATTTTCTCCGGAGTGTACATTACGTGGAACTGGGGACAAGAAGCACCAAATTCTGAAGCAGCAAACATGTTGTCAAATTTCGCCTTCTTCGCAGGTTTTCTAAATCTCAGATTTCCTACGGGAGGTTCAGCATACGGTATCCCCAGAAAGGTGGTTATATCAGCTGTATTAGGACCAATTTTTACTGTACGAATATCACCCGTTATCTTACCTACATTAGAATCAACAGTCCTTTGTTCTGCTGCCACACAGTTTACTATACAGGTTATTAAAACCAAACTACATATTAAAAGATTCATTTTCTGTTACGTTGCGTACGAAGTGAAGTAACACAAAATTGCAAATCTTCTCTACAATCTCCTTTATAAGGATGTCGCCTGGTATCGAAATAATACCGGATTATGAATACCAACCCCTCTTCAATAACTGTTTATCCAATTGCACCTTGGTCTGTTTTATATAATATCTGATCACTATGAGCTGACCTACTTTTCTCGATAAACATATAATCTAATCGGGGTGGCTTTTACCCTATTAGATATTAAGGGTGGTCTGACGATTAGCGATATGTTGAACTAGTCAAAGGAAAGGCTATTTGAAATATGCTGATTGGCTTTTTTTATTCTAACATGATCTTTACACGTTGTCTATGCGGTGTTTCATGTTTTATACTCTATTTTTGATTTTTATACATTGCATAAGACATATATTTAACCCCTAGAGTCGCGGTAGCCCATTTAGTTACAAAAAGGGCGACCTTAACGTTGACATATTTACAAGTAATGCGGTACGGTAGGCATCCACGAAAAGGTAAAAAAAAAAACGACAATGAAAAAAAGTCGAAGGATTGGAAAAAATCGTGAACTGGCAATCTATAAGTTTTTACCCCAAATGCCTGCATACTTATATACAATTACGGGGGGGGGGGGGGTGATTAGCACGTGCGCGCTGTGTCATACGGTCTTTCATTGAGTCAATTGCCGGGGTTTCGATTCCCTGGTTGTACGTGACAAGGAGTAGGGTCGTCTGTCCAACCTCATGGGTTTTTCCGGGTCCTCCGGTTTCCTCCCACTGCTAAAAGACCCCTACGCGCAAGCGAATTATAGAAATAAAATTGAACCATGTTTTAGTCCCGAAATGACCTAGTTTGTGTCGAGTGGACGTTAAACCCAATTTCTCTCTATATATACAATTACATACACGTGTAAAATACATATCAGGATCTCATTGTCAATAGCACTGGCTGAGAAGAAGTAATTTCCATATTAGGAGGACATTAGGAGGATATAAATGTTTTTTTTTTCTTCCGGTTTTGACATTATTCTTCTACACATAAATATAATATTATTGTGTGCCTGGGACATCTGGTTTTAAAGAAAAAAAAATAAAGAATTGAATTGTGTCGCAAATGACACATGTGATAATAAAAATCACATCGCGCGAATCTAACTCGATACAGATATTGGAATTAAACATTATGAGAAATAGAACGTCGTAGTCAATGTTATAAAGACCGTTCTCTTCCTTTCAAAGTAAAACAACGGAAGTCGTTGAAGAATCGCAGAACTAATGTAACACGATTCCTTGCTTTATTCTCCAAACATTTCAATACAAATTCAGATCGACTTGTTTTTCTGTGGTCGAATACTCCACGGTTATAAATGTGTCAATGACAGTATTAACTTGATTGACGAAACGAGTATGATGATCCGCTCAGGTCACTCACTGTTTGTTACTTATTGCAAGTGGTTTTAAGTAATGGAAAGTGCTGTTTTGTGACACGTGACATGCTGAAGATGACGTGAAGGGATCACAATTCTCTGTGATCTATTCGTATTTAATTGCCTGTAATCCCTGATTAACACGGCCCATATATTCATTTACTGAAGTATCATTATGATGGAGTTGACGGCTGTCGTGCAAAATACAGAGTAACTTAGTCCTTCTAAAATATCCGAAACCTTTTCTAATTACTTGAACATTTTCACTTAGATGCCCCCTTCCAAGAAACTTTCTCGGTCAGTACAGGGGTCGAACCCCAAACCCCCAGGATAGTAAGCTAGACTCACACTCGCCCAGAAGCCGGGATAACAAATTAATCCCATCAACCTACTCCACATGTAACAGATTAATACATTCTAATTAACTCCGCCAACCCACGCCATGTAACAGATTAGGCACATTCTCATTTAACTCCGCCAATCCACTCATTGTGGTACCATCCCGTTTCGACTACGTCCCATTTCCACTACAGCTTATATAACAACTTATAAACCTGTAACGGTACATTCTAATTTAACTCCGCCAACACACCCCATGTAACGGATTACATACAATCTCACCCCTGCCACCCCATGTAACAGATTACGTACATTCTAATGTTACCCCCACGCCACCCCCTCCACCACATGTAAGAGTAGTCAGTAGTCTGACTCCGATGACTCTTTAAGTTTACATCTCAAAACAGTATTGTTTATAAGTATATATTTTCAACAGCTGACAGATGTGCTAGTAGGTATAATATACTGACACAATGTGTGTACTTGGTCCATACTTGGTGTATTAAATAACAATAAAACCCCTTGTAACTTTATTGGTATCTGTAAAACCCATTAGACTGGTGAATACGTACTAGCTAGTGATACTTTACTTGTGTTTTGGTAAACGTGTAGCCATTTCTCTAAAATGTCTTTGAAATTTATTATTTATTGGCTTACAGATGGGCAGGAATCGCCTTATTATGTTTTTATAAGAATATTTTTCTTCACTGTTATACACTATGGGGTTTCATGGGCAAAGTTTTTTTTAAAAACGGATTCGATAAAGTATAGAGTATTGTAAATTAACTAACACTTTCCTAAGTATAGAAAGAGGGTTTGGTGGCGTGGTTTCGATTCCCATCTTGTACGTTGCCTGTCCATCCTCGTGGGTTTTCTCCGGTTTCCTCAATATGCTAAAGACCCCTACGCGTAGGCGAATTATTGAAATAAAATTGAACCATGTTAGTCCCGAAATGACATGACTTGTAGCGAGTGGGCGTTAAACCCCAATTTTTCTCTCTTTGAGGTATAAACATCTTTTGAATAGGGATAGTCTGATGTACATGTTAGATAAGTGATGGTTCTATCAGCGGTGCCCTAAGTGTGTTCCCTGAAACCCTACGGTTCAGCGAAATATTTAGGAGATCTGCGAGATAAATAGGCCCAAATATTTTCATCGGACCTTTCCGTTAATCCATGGAATAAATGGAATTGTATCGCGTGTCCACTGGAAGGGTTTAGTTTAACCCATCTATAAAATATTCGTTTGAAAAGTTACATATATGATTTAATCAATATTTTTATTCAATGTTTTTAAGTGTATGACTAATTACAGTTCTCTCAAATACAGTTTTAATAGTTTGTCAGTGCACATAGATTAATAAGTTTGACATCAGAAACAAAATAGCCAATATTTAATGCAAAACAAAGTAATGAAGAAACGGGGAAACATCGATAAGGCCCATCCTCTTATTGTCCCAATGCTTCACATCGAATATGGTAAAAACAAATCCGTTAGAAACTGTAGCTTCGGTCGCAATCTCAAAGTTTTCGGAAAGGGGCGAGGAATGGAACGGTAGGTCAAGGAACGCTGAATATCACATTCGAAATAAATCCGTTAAAAACAGTAGCCTCTATTGCTTTTCGGCAAATGGGAGGGGTGGTCTGTGAATCCGGAATGGAAGGTTGCGAAACGCTGAATATCAATAGCGTTCGTATTCTTGTGATCCCAATGCTTCGCACCGAATTTGAAACCGTTTGTTGACAAGTTTTCGACCAATGGGACTGTAACTTCCGAACCGTAGGTGGCGGAAACTGGGGTATTACTTTTACATTTGGCGTAAAAGGCGGGGGCCATAATCCAAGAAGTATTGATTCTTACCATATATTTGAAATTTCATCTGAATAAGGCAACAGTTGTGGCATCTGGAGGGCCTGCAAGCTATTTAAGTGATTTTCATAGAATCTCGAACATAAATCTATGCAGTTACTGTCCAACATGTTCCAAAATAGAACATATCAGGGATCGTTGAGATATAAATATTTACAATTGAAGTTTCGTCACAATCGAATAAAAACTGTGATTTGCCCCCAAACAAATGTGAACGAATGACCAGACATGAACGTCTACATGAAAATAATGGGCGTATAAAAACAAATGAACAGTGTTCCTGGAAATCTTTTCTGCCCAGTACTTAGTTTTTATGAGACCAGTGATCACCACCTGCTTTCTTGATCAGCTTTGGAACATAACTGGTCCAGAATGCTGTTCGTCGAGCATTTAGATGTTTTCTGTTGGCTGTATCTTCTGAAGTTATATACAGGTAGCTTTTATCTGAGCTGGTATACTCCCGCCATTGTACGGCTGGTTTACGTGGTGAATTGGGATCCCTAAAAAAAAGAAACCAATTTTCCTTAATCTAAAATTAATTAATATGCAATACGCATATCCTAACTGTTTTATCTGGGCAGGTAAGCCTATTAAAAAATCTACAGAAAATTGGTTTATCAGGACAAATTGCACGCAACCTGAAGTAGTATCTTAAAGATCTATCGGAAGTCTGACTAGTGTTCTGCATCAACACCATCTCTAAGGCCAGCTAACGATGATCATGGACCCGTGATCACCTACCACCAAATAGCTTATACTTCTTAACAATCTAAGTTAAAGTGATCGTCCGGTTTAAATGTACGTTAACAATATCACAGGATTGATAAGCTTGCTTACCCGGTTTTAGCAAAATTTGTCCAATAATCCATTATCCGTGTTGCAAATGGCCATTTAGCAGTGGTCTGTTCTTCTGTAATCTCGATAAAAGGCCTAAGATCTTCGTGCAAACCTAAAACGTAGAGTAGTTCATCGACATGCATTGCCCCTTTTATCCACGGTGCTTTGAACTGAAAGTCGTGGCGATCACAGAACTCGTATTGGTAAGTCTTAGAGCCTGTGTTCTGGTAAGCGTGTTTCTCAAGTGATGTAGCTGTGGACACAAAGAAACCAACGTCTGTTGCAAAGTCTGAAGCCTGTTTCTTGTGCAGATCTTTATCTGATGGGTCCTCATAGTTTGTGTACAGAAAAAGAACGGAGTCCAAAAGTTCTGATGCTAAGTCTTTACCGAAAGCATAATTTAATACCAATGATATAATATTGTAGTTAGCTTCTTGAATTTCGTCAACAGTGGATGCACTTTGTAGTTCTGTGAAATGTGCAGTCACTTCACCAAATGTTAGAAATATCAAACCATCGTAATCAGTAGTTCCCATCAAGAGGTCCAGATTTTTAAAAGGAATTAAATTTGTTTGAGTAGATGTATTACCAAGGGCATCTATTCTATTCTTAATGACAAAATCACCATCCACAGATGGACTCCAACACAGTAATCCACCTACCGTTACGTTTGAGGCAACGGCAATATGTGTAGTATTCTTGAAATCTCGAAGACATTGAACAATTGCTTTAGAAGACGATGTTTCGGGGCAGTCAAGTTTCTCGGCTAACAGTTTGGCAATCTTACGAGGATCAGGAGTAACTGACCAGAAGGAATTGGCTGAACCACTTTCTGCGATCGCTCTTTGAAATAGTCCTTCGTTTTCTGGATAAATAGTTTGATATATCACCGAGGCACTGCCAGCTGACTCTCCAAATATTGTAATTGATGTAGGATCACCGCCAAAAATTTCAATATTGTCTTTCACCCATTTAATAGCCAGATGCTGATCTCTCAGACCATTATTGGTATCCACAGCATCATCACCAGTGTCGAGGAAACCAAGAGGTCCTAAACGGTAGTTGATACTGACTGTCACTAATTGTCCATATGCGGCCAATTTCTCCACATTCATCGCTTTGCCGTCTCCAAGAATGAAACCACCACCATGAATAAAAATCATTACCGGATATTTGGTGTCACTTCCAGTTATATCAGGGGTATAAATATTTAGAAATAAACAATCTTCGTCCATTTTCTCCGGAGTGTACATTAAGTGGAACTGGGGACAAGAAGCACCAAATTCTGAAGCAGCAAACATGTTGTCAAATTTCGCCTTCTTCGCAGGTTTTCTAAATCTCAGATTTCCTACGGGAGGTTCAGCATACGGTATCCCCAGAAAGGTGGTTATATCAGCTGTATTAGGACCAATTTTTACTGTACGAATATCACCCGTTATCTTACCTACATTAGAATCAACAGTCCTTTGTTCTGCTGCCACACAGTTTACTATATAGGTTATTAAAACCAAACCACATATTACAATATTCATCTTCTGTTCGGTTAAAATAACATAGAATTATAACTACAAACTGCTCTAACGTGATCACAACTACTTGCACTCTTGTATATATTATAATTATTTGTTCGACATGACCTATTTTTCTCTTATGTTGGTGTTTACAATATAGACTGTATCATATTAGGTTTATTATATACTAAAGTTCAGCTTGACCTACTTCGCTTTAGTCTATCGTGACAATAGAGACTCCACGATATTCGATCCGTAGCGTGGTAGGGGGGTGTCACAATTACTGATACATGCTGATACAGCTGAAATTATGAGAGAAATAAAATGAAATGAAATGGGGTTTAACGTCCTACTGTTCTGCTCCTATACTGGGCTAATGAAGACGGGCATACGCCATACAGTGTGCTATGAGGGAAATTTTGCCCGGGCAGCGGCACTATCGCCTACTCTTATATCGAATTCCAACTGTCAGGGGATCTTTTACGTGCATTCCAATATATACACAGTCCTTTGTTCTGCTGCCACACAGTTTACTATACAGGTTATTAAAACCAAACTACATATTAAAAGATTCATTTTCTGTTACGTTGCGTACGAAGTGAAGTAACACAAAATTGCAAATCTTCTCTACAATCTCCTTTATAAGGATGTCGCCTGGTATCGAAATAATACCGGATTATGAATACCAACCCCTCTTCAATAACTGTTTATCCAATTGCACCTTGGCCTGTTTTATATAATATCTGATCACTATGAGCTGACCTACTTTTCTCGATAAACATATAATCTAATCGGGGTGGCTTTTACCCTATTAGATATTAAGGGTTGGCTGACGATTAGCGATATGTTGAACTAGTCAAAGGAAAGGCTATTTGAAATATGCTGATTGGCTTTTTTTATTCTAACATGATCTTTACACGTTGCCTATGCGGTGTGTCATGTTTTATACTCTATTTTTGATTTTTATACATTGCATAAGACATATATTTAACCCCTAGAGTCGCGGTAACCCATTTAGTTACAAAAAGGGCGACCTTAACGTTGACATATTTACAAGTAATGCGGTACGGTAGGCATCCAAGAAAAGGTAAAAACAAAAACGACAATGAAAAAAAGGCGAAGGATTGGAAAAAATCGTGAACTGGCAATCTATAAGTTTTTACCCCAAATGCCTGCATACTTATATACAATTACAGGGGGGGGGGGTGATTAGCACGTGCGCGCTGTGTCATACGGTCTTTCATTGAGTCAATTGCCGGGGTTTCGATTCCCTGGTTGTACGTGACAAGGAGTAGGGTCGTCTGTCCAACCTCATGGGTTTTTCCGGGTCCTCCGGTTTCCTCCCACTGCTAAAAGACCCCTACGCGCAAGCGAATTATAGAAATAAAATTGAACCATGTTTTAGTCCCGAAATGACCTAGTTTGTGTCGAGTGGACGTTAAACCCAATTTCTCTCTATATATACAATTACATACACGTGTAAAATACATATCAGGATCTCATTGTCAATAGCACTGGCTGAGAAGAAGTAATTTCCATATTAGGAGGACATTTAACTCCACTTCATTTAATTCCTTTCACAATTAAACTGTTGTAGTTTAACCGGGCCGACGAATAGAATGTATGGAATTAACCGGGCCGAATAGAATGTATGTAATTAACCGGGCCGAATAGAATGTATGTAATTGTATGGCGTGTCTATGGATTATATTGGGTGTGTTTAAACCATCTATGAAAAGTGGTTATAGCTTACTTCTGACATAAACAATATTTATTTGCATTGGTACAATATTGTATACCTTTAAGTATCGCTATTATACAAATGAAAGTTGTCCAGGTATGTCATTGACCGTGAAGGTAGATTTTGTCACCCATGACGAAAAAAATATTTTTTTTTTTATTATTGTACGATATTTACGAAGTCTCGATTGTCAGTCATTTCATTCACATGGCCTATTACACTATTAACATTTAACGCAGACGTGGTGGGAACCTTCTGATCCATTCAATAACCAAGCCATCCAGAAAGTTGAGTGTGTGCTTTGCACATGAATATTCTAAAAAATAATTTATATAACATTTGAATCCAAAAGAAAGACCAGCAAAAGACAGATTCATCTCTCGTATAATGAATCGTTAATGTGAATATTAGGTTTATATGTGACAAAGATATATTTCTAATAATCTGGCGTTCAACATCCGTTTTCACACAGTTTGATATCCCAGTTAAGTCATTCAGAAAAAAGTGGAAATAATTGGTGTGATGCTGGTGAAGCAAACTTTTGTTACACGAGACTTCACGTTTGCTTTAAGCACAGGTTGATATCCCAACAAAATCTCAGTGATAGGTTTCGAAAATAACACATTCATCTATATCTTGGACGTGGAACAATGTTTACGATTATTCTGTCCAGTACTTAGTTTTTATGAGACCAGTGATTACCACCTGTGTTCTTGATCAGCTTGGGAACATAACTGGTCCAGAATGCTGTTCGTCGGGCATTTAAATGTTTTCTGTTGGCTATATCATCTGAAGTTATATACAGATAGTTTTTATCTGAGCTGGTATATTCACGCCATTCTACAGGTGGTTTACGTGGTGAATTAGGATCCCTAAAAGAAAAAAATTGCATAATCGAAAATTAATTAAGAGAGAGAGAGAGAGAGAGAGAGAGAGAGAGAGAGAGATGGGGTTTAACGTCCACTCGACACAAACTAGGCATTTCGGGACTAACATATGGTTCATTTCTATTTCAATAAACAGGAGGACCCGGAGAAAACCAAGGAGGTTGGTAAGGCGACCCTACTCGTTGTCAACTACAACCGGGGAATCGAAACCACACCAGCTGACTCAATGACAGACCTTATGATACAGCGCGCACGTGCTAACCATCCAACCCCCTCCACCCACTAGCCCCCGGAATCAACACAATCACCATATAGCAACGATACGATTGCCTGCCCATTTCGGTCTACATAGCTTACAAATATGGGTATATAGCTTCTTACCTTTAAATTCATACCCAGACCACCGTTTCACTTAGGGAAGATTTAAGAGTAAGTAGTGGCAAGCACAGTGTATGCTTGCACTGAGTATGTTCATATAGCTAATCAATTTGGTCCCGTGTCATCAAAGGACACATTGACGTCTATTTCTTGAAATAAAGTTGGTGCAGGACGGAGGGCCTGACAAGGATAGCTGTCTAGTTGTTTGGATGGGACGAAACACTGAGGTCCAGTGTATACATTGGCATGCACGTAAAAGATCCCTTGGCAGTGAGAATTCGATATAAGAGTAGGCCATGGTGCCGTTGCCCGGGCAAAATTTCCCTCATAGCACACGGTATGGCGTTAAACCCCAGTTCATTTTCATTTCTGAAATAAAGTGAAAGTGGTCGCCCCGTTTAGGCGTGACGAGTTTGGAGTGCGTAGCCGGGTATGTTATTCATTCTAGAACACTAGAACACATTTTGCATTTAATAAGATCAGATCAGATAGCCAACACATATTTGTCGCATGAATTAAAAATTACAATATCATACGATTGCTTACCCCGTTTTAGCGAAATTTGTCCAATAGTCCATCATCATTGTTGCCAATGGCCATTTAGCAGTGAACTGTTCGTCTGTAATTTCGTAATAAAACCCAAGTTCTTCAGGCATTCCCAAAACGTAGAGTAGTTCATCGCCATGTAACGCCCCTTTAATCCACGGATCTTTGGACTGAAAGTCGTGGCGATCACAGAACTCGTATTGGTAAGTCTTAGAGCCTGTGTTCTGGTAAGCGTGTTTCTCAAGTGCTGTAGCTGTGGACACAAAGAAAGCAACGTCTGTTGCAAAGTCTGCGATCTGTTTCTTGTGTAAAAGTTCATCTGATGGGTCTTCGTAGTTGCTGTACAGAAAAATAACAGCATCCAAAAGTTCTAATGCTAAGTCTTTACCGAAAACATTTTTTAATACCGATGAAATCATTTTTTTGTTAGCTTGCTGAATTTCGTCAACAGTTGATGCACTTTCTAATTCTGTGAAATATGTAGCCACTTCACCAAATAATAAAAATACTACACCATCGTAATCAGTAGTTCCCATCAAAAGGTCCAGATGTTTAAAAGGAATTAAATTTTGTTGGGCAGTTGGGTGATCAAGAGCGTCTATTCTATCCTTAATGACAAAATCATCATCCAGAGATGGGCCCCAACATTCAAATCCACCCCCAGTTACGTTGGAGACAAGGGCAATGTGAGTAGTATTCTTGAAATCACGAAGACATTGAACAACCGCTTTAGAAGACGACGTTTCCGGACAGCCCAAAATTTCTGCTAACGATATGGATTTCTCTTTGGGATTACGAGTAACTGCCCAGAAGGAATTGGCTGAACCACTTTCAGCGATTGCTCTTTGAAATAGTCCTTCGTTTTCTGGATAAATAGTTTGGTACATCACACAGACACTGCCAGCTGACTCTCCAAATATTGTTATTGAATTAGAATCGCCACCAAAACTTTCAATATTGTCCTTCACCCATTTAATGGCCAGATGTTGATCTCTCAGACCATTATTGGTATCCACAGCATCATCACCAGTGTTGAGGAAACCAAGAGGTCCTAACCGGTAGTTGATACTGACCGTGACTAATTTTCCATATGCAGTTAATTTCTCCCCGTTCATCGATTTACCGTCTCCAAAAACGAAACCACCACCATGAATAAAAATCATTACCGGATATTTGGTGTCACTTTCAGTTATATCAGGGGTATAAATATTTAAAAATAAACAATCTTCGTCCATTTTGTCCGGAGTGTACATTTCGTGGACCTGGGTACAAGAAGCCCCATATTCGGAAGCGACAAACGTGTTGTCAAATTTCGCCTTCTTCATAGGTTTTCTAAATCTCAGATTTCCTACGGGAGGTTCAGCATACGGTATCCCCAGAAAGGTGGTTATATCAGCTGTATTAGGGCCAATTTTTACTGTACGAATATCACCCGTTATCTTACCTACATTAGAATCAACAGTCCTTTGTTCTGCTGCCACACAGTTTACTATATAGGTTATTAAAACCAAACCACATATTACAATATTCATCTTCTGTTCGGTTAAAATAACATAGAATTATAACTACAAACTGCTCTAACGTGATCACAACTACTTGCACTCTTGTATATATTATAATTATTTGTTCGACATGACCTATTTTTCTCTTATGTTGGTGTTTACAATATAGACTGTATCATATTAGGTTTATTATATACTAAAGTTCAGCTTGACCTACTTCGCTTTAGTCTATCGTGACAATAGAGACTCCACGATATTCGATCCGTAGCGTGGTAGGGGGGTGTCACAATTACTGATACATGCTGATACAGCTGAAATTATGAGAGAAATGAAATGAAATGAAATGGGGTTTAACGTCCTACTGTTCTGCTCCTATACTGGGCTAATGAAGACGGGCATACGCCATACAGTGTGCTATGAGGGAAATTTTGCCCGGGCAGCGGCACTATCGCCTACTCTTATATCGAATTCCAACTGTCAGGGGATCTTTTACGTGCATTCCAATATATACACGGGACCTCGGTTTTTCGTCTCCTCCGAAGGACTAGACAGCTGTCCTTGCCAGGCCCTCCGTTCTGCACCACTGACAAGGGGAAACCACGTCGGAAAATCTGGACGAACACCTGACCTCCAAAATTATGAGAGAGAGAGAGAGAGAGAGAGAGACTTCTATTCGACACAAACTAGATTATTAGGGATCTTTAGCTATTGGAAGAAATCTGTGGATTGCAACCACGTCATTTGCCTCAATGACGGACCGTTAGACCACTCGATACCCCTTCCCCTCCCCTAATTATAAGAAACATCTGGTGTTATGTCACGGTAGGAATTAGAAATTAATTCTGTCATTATGAAGGATGATATGATAGAAGCAGGCCGTCAGAATGATTGAAGAGCCATAATTTAAATACTGTTTTATGCTAGTTATTGCAGTAAATGATTCCAGAAATAACAACATCCGTATATAGCAATGTTTTATGACGTGCTTACTAATTTTTGACATGCTACAGGAAAACTTTTAAAACAAGTACGACTGTACTTGAATTTGCCAAACCTTAGGCATTTTTTCGAAGAGCGTCGACGCCAAGAAGACCAAGAATATGAGTGCCGTAGTGAGTGCCTGGTGGCCATAGAAATATATTTCGTTGTTTTCGACCAGTCCATTTTGGTATTGTATGACGTGATATTGAATTCGGCCAATCAATGCTCAATCATCATATCGATTGTACTTGTATTGGCGGAGCCTTGGGCTATTTTCAGTGAGCATCGCCAAGAAGAACAACAAGATGGTGTACCGTAGGGCTTGGAGACCAGTCGTCTCTCATCCCACAATATTCGAGAAAAAAAAACCCGTCAGTGTCACTGCTTAGAGATTATATTGGTAATAAATTTATAGAGTGCTTGAAATCTAGCACAATCTTGGCTATTACGTTTTATATTTTTCTTTTAAACAATATTTTTATTCAGGTTTTCTGAATGGGATTGGGGAACAGGCTTAGCCTATGTAAAACCCCGTTTTATATAACGCATAATGTCTATTTGGTCTACTTTTTGATATATGCAAGTCATCGTGATTTTTGGTGCAATTATTACAACCTTGACAACGTGTTGATTTCAGAGTACTTATTTTAACAGATGTAGTATGCATGTCATTGTAGTCAGGCATTTCTCAATAATATTGCCCGGTTATTTATTGTGTAACCTTTAGGAAGCCATTTTTCAAAAATTAAAATGGAGAAGGGCATGTTAATGCATTCTTTTCAGATTTAAGACAGCTGCGACTGTTGATGTCGATTGTCTGCGATATCCCAAACAATTAAACCTGACAGTGTTGTCGTTTATATCGTCACTTCCGGAAACCCATTTTTCGAAAAAATGGTGTGGCCAGGAAGGGTACATGTTCACGTATTTCTTCGAAGTTTTCGACGTACTGTTGTCGTTTAATTAAAGGGTTTGAATAGGTCACTGATAAGTACCTGTGTTCGATCCCTGCATTGGCCGAGAAAGTTCATCTGGATTTTCCTACGTGGTTCCCCTTGTCAGTGGTGCAGAACAGAGGGCCTGACAAGGACAGCTGTCTAGTCCTTCGGATGAGACGAAAAACCGAGGTCCCGTGTATGCATTAGAATGCACGTAAAAGATCCCTTGGCAGTTGGAATTCGATATACGAGTAGGCGATAGTGCCGCTGCCCGGGCAAAATTTCCCTCCGAGCACACTTTATGGCGTATGCCCGTCTTCATTAGCCCAGTATAGGAGCAGAACAGTAGGACGTTAAACCCCATTTCATTCGATAAGATCCTGGTATTTCAATTACCATAACAAACATGAATGGAATTGTATCGCGTGCCCGTGGATTATATTGGGTTCGTTTAACAAATGAGGAATTTGCCTCTGACTAATGTTGAATTGTAATAGGTTTTGTGTTCGGTTTGGTTCCCAGCTCGGCTCGGTTCCATGTCCATGGGAATCATGTGGCTGTGTATATATTTGGCATCATGTGTTCATAATATGTAGCCTATTTTATAACAACGAAAGCTGATTTATCCTGTTGCTTCAATTTCTTTTTCGACGTCTTTATGAAAATCCCCGCTACAATGTTGTTCAATAACCACAGGTGTTTATTATTAGTAAGCTAGAATTCTTTGTATTTGACTTTGTATTTGTTACTTATTGATTTTTAATTTTCTGTATTGCTATTTCTTTGGTAGGGTATTATATATTATACAGGTGCGCTAGTTTAAAATACAAAGTTCATGGTCAAAGTTAGTATCCAGGGCCTTATTAACAACATTATAGGCCCCTTGACAAAGACAATTCACCAGAGCCCCTACCTGCACAACCACTCAGAAGAATCAAGATGTCGATGGTCGATACAATTAAATATATATTTATTGTAATGACACTTCCAACAAAATCAGTGTTTAGCCTTTAAAAAACATAATGTGCGGCAAAGATGGGACACCTAAACTTTTAAAGGGGCCCTGCATATACTATTACTATGTCAAACTGTGAGAGAGGATGACAAAGCTGCTGTTCGGCGTATGATTGCCTGGTAACTTAGCTCATGCTTAATTTATCAGTATTTTAGTTGCTATTTTCTCGTCTTCATTAGCCCAGTCGGAGCAGAACAGTAGGACGTTAAGCCTCATTTCATTTCAGTAGTGTATGGAGATAGCAAAAAATAAAAGATAGCAAAAAATAAAATATGAAATCACCAACATCAAAAAGAAGCAATATCGGAAATTAATCCTATCAGTTGTTAAAAAGGGTTATATTTCGTTTCATATTTTATATATAGCTCAAATTTTGTCATAAAATAAACGAAACGAAATCTAGATCATTATTTTGTAGGGCTCAAATTTCATTTTAAAAAAAATCCTGACATGAAATCTAGATCTCTGTTTTATAAGTCATAAATCATACCTTTGTTTATTTATTATATTTATTTTTTGCCTTTAATTTACTTTCTATTTACTTAAAAATGATTCTTATCAACGAGTTCATCAAGGGAAATCTCTCGAAATAAATCTGCATAAATTGATAAAATATTTGAGGTGGAGGAAACCCCGAAGATTTCTTCGGTTTAATGCAAATAAGCTTTGAAAACATATGTGATGACGGCTTTAAAAAAAATAATATTACAGAATGTTATAATTTGCCTTGTGATAACTGTTTTTACAGGCAGTTTAAGGATATCGAGAGACGAAATTTAATCCACGTATATTTTATCTGTGTTTTTCTTTTAACAAAATACTTATTATACACAGATGGTAAACCATTCTTGCCACTCGCCAAAATATGGCCGTGTGTTTTCTTCGTTTTCATTTTTCGGCCATCAAAGGAGAGAACAAAGAGGATGATAATTTGTGGCTACATACTGGGGAGTTTTTACCTATCATGTTCAAATATTGAACTTTGAGGTCATCTTTGTTTACTTGGAGTTTAGTTCTGGTGTCGCGGTTTGACTCAGTACCCTGTTTGGTATTTTACTTTCGTTTAGTTTCTTTTTAATAAAAATGACCATTACCTTGATAACTTACTTTCATTTTGTTTTTGTTAAAAACAGATGATGACTTTCATTAGTTTCGTTTTATAAACAAAATCCTATTAAAACACTTGGTTTATTGTTTTTAAAAAATAACTACTAACTTGGTACCTTATTTCCACCAGTTAGTTGTTCGAAAAACAAAACAAAACAAAACAAATAACCGTTAAATACTATTTTACTTTCATTTATTTTATTTTTTAAAACAACAAATGACCATTACCCCCCCCCCCCCCTCCCACCCCACCCCCACACGAGAAGAACAACAACCATGGCTTCTCACTTTAGTTGTTTATATAAAATATATGACCTTTACCTTTGTTATTTGCATTTAGTTTCTTTTTAAATACAAATGGTCATAACTATGGTACTATACTTTTATTTAGTTGTTTGTTTGACTAGGTTCCTTGTACAGCGAACCCTGAGGAAACCCACGAGGTTAGACATGTGACCGTGCCTCTTGTCACATACAACCGTTTGAGATCGAAACCACAACACTTAACTCAACGGCATACCTTATGATCTAAAGCGCACTCGCAAGCCAATAGACCCCTTGCCCCCTATTGATGAGGATACACCATATCCCCCTAACAGACTAATCTTCAATTTATGTTGATCAACAAGTCAATATCATCTTTATATAGTGGTTGACGACTGTGAAAGGTTCATTGGGATCCCCGAAATCGTTATATATAAATGTCATTCTGTTTAGATAGTATAACCTTGAACTTTGTGTTTAAACGCCGATATTTGTGTCAACACACTACTCAAGTGAATGAGTTCAAAATGATATGCTGATTATTACAAGTTCAAAAAGATAGTAAGTGGGACGCTTTCAAAAGGGCTAAATCTGGTTGTTAAGGCCAGCTCAATTTTCGTCAAGGTCGCTGAGATCTAAATAAGGTTAGGACACGTGATGTGATTGTTGGCGAGATTTTAGGTTAGGTTTAAGAATTTGGGGGAGAGATTGTTGGCGAGATTGTAGCTTAGGGTTAGGGTAAGCATTCGAGGTCCAGGGTTAGGTTTGGGATTAGCGCTAGCCATGTTTCCATCTCGTGAACTTTGACCAATCCTAAAGTTGGCCTTATGATATAGATCTAATCTCACTTTTGAAAGTGGCCGAATGAT